TAAAACGGATGTTGGAGAGCGAGACTCTGTCTCCAAAAATAAGTAAATAAATAAATAAAATGAAATGGATGTTAGGTCTCCAATGATAACGTGGCTTTGGCCGTGCAGACGCAGGCTCCGGCCGTCAGCAGACCTGGCTGCTGGGCGCGGCACTGGCCTTCACGCTGGCCGGAAACTGAGCGCAGCAGCCAGGCTGGGCCGGCAGCGAGTGAGCGACTCGTGAGGCCTCGGCAAGAACCGGGCTCGACGGGGGTGAACACTGGGAAGAACAGCTGGGGAGGAAGCAGAATCTCTACCCTTCGGAATGTTCTTTAAAATAGCCTTGCTGGCTTTGCGAAAGTTGCGTGCACTCATGGCAAAAATTCCAACGACGCAGAGAAGAGCATCGGAGAGAGTAAAACTCAGACTCGACCTCACCCCGCAAAGATCCCCACTGTTACTACCCGGGGCCCCCCCCGGTGTCTGCGTCCATCCTGCAGACAGTAAAGACGCTTGGGTGCTGCCACCGGGGGGGTCACGCGCACAGACTCTTTTGCCCAGTAACGGGTTATTACAGTGTCAGTGAGCGAGATCGAAGCCGTGGTTTTCCGTGGCTGTACGATATCTCACTGTCCAAGTCCCCCAACGTGTCTCTCCACCGGCGACATCCAGTCTTTCCCCGTGGTCACCAGCGGCACCATAAGCACTGGGGAGCGTTTGCCCCTCGGTCTTTGGGCAGAAGGAGGAGCCATCTGCTTCTCAGGGCTCACGCTTAGGCGGCCGTAGACCAGGTGGCTCCGACAGCGTCACTCCTGAGAGCAAGGGGCTGCTGTTCATAGCCGGGCCTCTCAGCCTCCCGGGGGAGGGCGGCCTGGGTGGCTGGGGGTCTGGACCTGCCTGGGAGGAACCCTGAGGTTTCCACAGAAGGCACGTGAGCGGGGCCAGTCCACAAGGACTGTGCGTAACGGGGTCATCCTCAGGGAATCGTCCCACCCCCTGAACTCAGGGCTGCCAGCAAAGGTTGGTGTCTCCCGACCATTTCAGGCTGTGAATACTGGACACCGGGGGGTGCGGCTTCTTCAAACTGCCCCGTCTAGCCGTCCACCTGTGCAGTCACCTGTCCATCTGTCTGTCCATCTCACCCCATGCCAGTGGCCAGCAGCCCCACAGCAGCCGTAAAACCTGAGTCTGGCTCGTTCACCACCACATCACTGGTGCCGAGAACAAGGGGCTGGCGCGATGGTGCTCATGGGAAAGATTTCTGAATGAGTGAATGAGTGAATGAGTGAATGAACGACCACCACGGCCACCCTCTCGGCAGCTGCCATTTATGGGTGGCTAACATGGGCCGGGCACGTTGCTAAGTGCTGTACACTCGTGTGCTCGGCACATCCTCCCAGCAGCCCTGCCAGGAGAGCACTGTTAGCCCATGTTATGGAGCAGGAAGTGGGTCTTAGACAGGTAGAGCCACCTGACAGGTAGGGAGTGGCGAGATCACCACTCGCCCCGTCTGGCTGACCCTGGAGTCACGGGCACACGCAGACTTACCCCGCAGCTTCCCTCCTCCCTTCCCGCCGGCCGAGCCATCTGCCCTGCAGACCCCAGCCCACCTTGCCAAGGGGCAGGAGAGAGTCCCCCTGCCCCGGGCACCGAGAGCACGGGCCCAAACCCGGGGCTGGGAAACGAGTCCACGTCTCATGCACACATGGGAGCGAGAGGAATGGTCTGAGCTCTTCCCCCTGCCAGTTCACTCTGGGTTTGGGGTCCACACCTCCAAGAGCCCCCATTCCCTCCAACATGGCTCCGTGGCCGGTGCACTCAGAATCACGGAATCTTGAATTAGAAGGGACCCTCGAGAACTGGTCCTACCCCCTCATTTCAGATGAGGAAACTGAGGCCCAGAGACCCCCCAACCCCGTCCCCATCCCAGACACCCGTGGCAGTTGCTGGTGGCACAGACCGGACAGAGGTGCAGGCATTGCCCAGTGGCCCTGCCTGCCTGGAGGCACCCACACGGAGGGACGCGTCCTCTCCCTTCCCTGGTCCCTCTCCGCTCTCGACTCCGTAAGCGGTCCGCACAGGCCGGAGTGGGGGTCTCCGCGGCCCCTGTCGCAGGGGCAGCCCCCTCGTGGCTGGCTGAGTGGTGCAGAAAGCCGCGCCCTGCCTGCTGCTTTTCCGTGTGAAAGGTGTTTAATTATTTCTGACAGAGTTCAGTGGCGACATCTGTTCGTGAGCGGGGAGAGTCCATTTAGGTTATCCATCACCGTGACAGGTTCAACTTTTTTGGAAGCGCTTTTCCTTTCATAATGGGGCCGGGGTGGGGGCGGCAGATCAGTGGCACACGAGGCACAGACAAAGACCCTCCCGGGGCTTCGCATGTGACAGGCCTGTGGGCAGCTACCCGGGCCTCTGAGCCCGCACCCGCTGTGCAGCTTGGAGGGGTGGTGGGTGCTTGGGTGTGCGGGTTGGGAAGGGGCTTTCATGGGGTCTGCGAAAGGCTTGTAAATTCTTCTGTCATTCTGGGCTCTACCGGTCGTCCATTCTTTGGTTCACTCATTCATTCATTCCACAGACATTGACTAACCCCCTACTCTGTGCCAGGCACCCTGCTGGGCTCTGGGGACATGGTCCTTGTGGGCTCACACTTTCTGGGCAAGGTGAAAAATCGTCCGGTTAATTAATTAATTGCAAAGTTGACAAGTGCCTCGATGGGGAAGAAAGGAGCCCTTTGGTGGTGAGAAGGGGGCTGGACATGGGGCCTGGAAGGGAGGAAGGGCAGCACGCCCCGGGGCTGGAATGGATCTGGGATCCACCTCTTTCCCCTCTGAGCCTCAGTTTCTACATCAGTACAATGGGGCCATGATCGCTGAGATAATGCTTGTTCAGTGCCTGGCACATAGTAGGGGCTCAGTAAATACCTTTTGTTGGCGTTACTTCCTGGCAGGGCAGGGAGGGCCTGAGTGTGACATCCATAGCGGCAGCACTCTGGGTCTAAGGGTCCCTGCCGGGTTGTACAGGGCAGCGCCTGGGGAGGAGCCTGCTCTGGAAGTCCCTGGCCTCAGGTTCCTGACTATAGGATGGGGGTGAGGCCTGCAGCTTTAACTGCCAGGATCCTGTGAACATCCTTGGGAAAGATGACAAACACCCAGTTAGTACCGGGCTTGCATTTTTACCATCTTCCTTGTTATTTCTGTGGCACGATGGGGCGTGCGTCCTGGCTGGGCCCTGCCATCCAGCAACCCCATGTTCCAGGCCCCACCACTTGCCGGGCGAGGAAGGCGCTAACCCGGCCTCTCAGCCCTACAGCGGAGTCGGGTGCTCGCTCTGAGGACGCAATGCAGTTACACGCACAAACGGCTTCGCACGGTGCCTGGCGCCCAACGAGAGGTTATTATTACAGGTTTGCTGCTGTTCGTGACAGTGTTTTAGAACAATCTATGGGCTGGAAGAGACTCGTGCTCAGCTGAGTCAGATCCCTGTTTTGAAAATAGAAGCACTTTAGTTCATTTCTGCATTTGGGTTCCTACGCTGGGCCAGGCGCTGTGGGGACACGGCAGGAGCCCCCAGCACAGGAGTGTCAGTGTTGCCAGGCGGGGAGACGACCTGAGCCTCCTGTGTCCACAGCCTCGGACTCCAAACAGAGACGAGGGGCTGGGAGGGGCCGTGGGGGCAGCTCATGCCATGGAGCAGTGGGTGTCCGTGATGGCAGGGGCTGTCACAAAGGAGCAAGGGAGGAAAGGCAACCGCAGGGCCAGGACAGAGGCCGTGGACGGAGTCCGCTGCGTGCGAGAGAGAGGAGCAGAGAGCAGGGCTGTGGTTTGAAAGGGCAGGACACAGGGCGAGACGGAGAAGCCAGAGATGAGTCTCGCTGTCAGGGTGGCCCGGGTGGTGAGAGGGGCTCTAAGGCTGACTCCCACCAGCTCTCGAACGGCCCTCGGCCCTGTTCTTCGCTTGACATTTGCTGCGTGTGAGGTGGCAGCAGGCTGACGGGCGGCAGGGCGCATGGTCACTGACATATGCTGGCGGAGGCCACTTGGGCAGGAGCTGCGAGGCTGCGTCGGGGGAGCAAAGCAGGTTTCTCCAGCGAAGCTCAGCAGCTTGTTCAAGTGCATTAGGCTCAGGAAGGCACTGGCCCCTTCATTGTCTAAACTGCAGTTTAACTCGACACAGCAGCCAGGCCGGGCTGGCCAGGAACATTGCTTTGTGCACCTGTCTTCCCGGGGCCAGGTGAGTCCCTTGTGGCCTCCTAGAAAGGCTCCCTCTGCCCAAGCCGGGCACACACGGCTCCCCACCCATCCTGAAGCCACTGTTCCCCAATCTCCTGGTTCCCTTTCTCTGCACAGTGCCCCCGGCTCTGACGTTGTTCCAGCCCTGCTGAAAGCTGCTGAAGACGCATTCCTACCCCAGGCACCACAGGGCGCCACGGCTGCGTGAGCACCAGCTCAGTTCTGAAGCTGGAACACGGCTGGCTCCCTGGGTCCTTACCTAGGTCAGTCTGGGTGCACATGATGCGCTTTTGCCAGTCCCCAGGGGACATTTGCTGCCCCCACACACCAGGGACACCTCCCTGTGGGAGGTGTAGCGCTTGTGGGCATGTGGCTGTCTTGCATCCCAAGTTCCCGGTGCAGGACGTGGTGCACTGCCAACCCCGTCACAGGAGGGTTTGGCCAGACAGCCTCTGCCCCGGTGGACAGCCACCCAGGCTCTGCAGGCAGGCGTCTGGGCTCGGCCCAGGACTCTGGCACTTGGCAGCGTTCAGCAAGTCCCTGTCAGTACCACGGGCCTGACAGCGCCCCTGCTTCCATGAATGTGAGGAGTCACTGAGAGATTCAGGTAGGGCTCGCCCCCTGGCCCTGGGGACGTGCTCCAAAAGTGTCAGCTATTGCTACTGCTATGGTTGTGGTTTTGTTGTGCTAACGGAAGGTAAGAAGCCCACAAAACTCCTAGACAGCAGGTAAGGACTAGGCAGCGTGAGCAGCGCCGGCACCGGTGCAGGAGGGGCAGGTGAAGGCGGCACTGACCTTCTGGAAGTGGGGCATACGCCAGAGGGCGTCCGGCCTCGCGGGCGGCTTGCACTTGCGCAGCTGGCTGCTCCGGGTCTCGTACAGCTTGCCCAGGATCACCTGCAGGCCAGGGAAGTGCAAGGGGAGACGGTCACCTGTCTGTATGGACCGGAACTCGCGGTGCGACAGACTCATGGGTCACTTCCCTCCTGGCCCCAACCCTCTCGGAGGCTATTTCACGGCCCCTGATGCCCTGGCTCTGCCCCTGGCCACAGCTCAGTGGACCAGGGGCTGGGATTACAGGCTGCCCTGAGTGTTCCAGCTTCCGATCTGGCTTTAGAACACGTGGGGCGCTGGCATGCGGCCACTCTGAAGTCAGGAACTGTGTCCTAGCCATCCTTGAAATGTCGCTCTGTGGCTAACACAGCCCCAGTGGTTCGTAGGGACTCCGTGGTGTTTGAACAAAGAAACGTTTGATTTGAGGGGTTACTGTCTCTTGGAGCAGGTCCTCGCCATGGCCTGCTCTCAGAGGAGGAAGAAGGGCTCCTTTCCAGGAGGGATTCAGGGCAAGGCTCAGAGCCATGAGGTCTCTGCAGGTGGGACTTTGGAGGCACAGAGGAAGCCCTTCTGCTCCTGAGCTGCGTGCTTGGGCCACTAACGGTGCCAGCAAGTTCATAATTAGTGTCCTGTAGCTCATGGGGCTGGTCGTGGACTAAGTTGTGTCCCCCCCCAAATCATGTGTTGAAGCCCTAACCGCCAGTGTGACCATATTTGGAGAGAGGGCCTATAAGGACGTAATCAAGCTTAAATGAGGTCATAAGGGAGGGGCCCTGGTCCAAGAGGACTGGCGCCCTTACAAGAAGCGGCAGAGAGATCAGCACTCTCTCTCCACCACGTGAGGACACAGCGAGGAGGCGGCCGTCTGCAAGCCAGGGAGAGAGGCCTCAGAAGGAACCAACCCTGATGTCACCTTGATCTTGGACTTCCAGCCTCCAGAACTGTGAGACGATAAATTTCTGTTGCGTGAGCACCATAATCCGTGGTGTTTGTTACAGCAGCCCAAGCAGACTAAGGCAGAGTCCAAGGCCTCCGGCCTCAGAGTCAGCTGGGGAAGAGCGTTGGCGGGTTCAGGCTGTTCGTAAGACAATGCAGCAGCCATACAGATCTTGGAGCGGGAAGAGCCCAGAGAGCTTGGTTCAGCCAGTGTTTTCTGAGCACCTGCTGTGCGCTAGGTGACGGGTTCCACCTTGGCATATTGAAAAAGGGCGGAGGCAAGACTGTCTCTCTGACTTCCCCACCGTTCTTCCCTGAAGCAGGACATAAAACCTGGGAAGGACTATCAACCTTCCCCTGAAGCAAGTCGTAAGACCCTCATTCGGGAGGTGCCCTCCCCATACCCAGAGGAAAGGAACATCCTTGCCGCTGAAGACACAGAGTCACAAAGAAGAACCTGCACAAACAGCTGCTAGGGCCCCAGTTTATTGCCATCAGATCATACTATTTGTCCAGTGCTCTTTCTGCACCACCGTCCGCTCTTCATCAAACCTGGCATCAAGATACACGGGTTTAACCGAGTCTTTGGTCTTCATTTGCTTATGGAGGATCCCATGTCATGTAAAACTTAAATAAATGTATGTTTTTCTCTTGTTAATCTGTCTTTTGTGATAGGGGCCTCAGCCATGCACCTAGGATGGGAAAAGGAAAGATATTCCTCCTCCTCCTCTACATAGGTGCAACGTGGCAGCTTCTCATTTAATCTGACCCCTTTATTTGCCCAATGAGGAAACTGAGACCCCAACTAAGGGGTGACTCACTTGCAATCACACACCTGGCACTGGTGCTGGCTCCAAACCACATTAGGGGCTTACGGGGCACAGTGCTTTGAAACAAGGGGCACTGCCCATGACATCTTCTCCTAGAGTTGGAAGATGGGTCCCTGGAGGTTCCAGTTTCCGTAGATTTGTCGACACTCTGAGTTGCCATGAAATAGCTGCTAATTAAATTGTGCAGCTCTCGTGTGAAGCTATAAAGCACTTCATAACGGTAATGTTCCCTCTGAAATTGGCCATTACCATAGCAAGTTGACTCATTCTTGAGCCATTAACAAATAAACTAGTCCTGGGCTGCTCTTAAATGTTATGACAATGCTGTGCTCATTCATGAGCTGGCGTCTTGGACTCTACCGACTGCTGAGAACAGCCAGGAGAGGCCTTGGCACCTGGCCACGCCCAGGGATCCCCGGCCTCCCACCCCAAGCACCTGTCCTGGCCTGTCCCTAGGTACCAGGATCTCTAAGAAGACTTCCGATCCCAGTTTAGCCCTAGGTCACAGGTGCTGTCACTGAGCCCTGAGCTCTCCCATAATCAGCCTGCGTGGGACCTCTCCTTCAAGACAGACACAACTGGGTCTGCAAGTCACTTAAGCGCTCTGAGCCTCAGTTTCCCCATGACAAGGAAACAAACTACAACGCTATGATGAGATACGGACCTCATGGGGTTCTCGGAGGACTACCTGCAGGAACTCAGGCTGCATCCTCAGCCCAGCTCCAAGCCCAGAGCACAGCCAGGCGCAGGGACAGTGTTGGTTGTGATTCTTGTAACAACCAGCAACACTAGAGCCACGCTCTTGATGAAATCTGTAAAGCACGATGTGAACACAGAGCGATTCGGATTTTACAGTCAACAGTCTGGATCTACTGCAGAGGAGGCCAATCTGAGCTCTCCGAAAGTCCAGATTCCGGAATATTTGAGAGGAAGCACCATTTGGGTATTTTCAAACGTGTACAACAACACAAATTAACAGCTAAAGATGTTTATCCTGGTAAAAATCTCACTGACCCCACTTCCTGCCAGTTGCTGACACCCCACGTCATTAGCAACGTGCAGCATGTGGACTCCAAACTCCCCCGAGCCGGCGCCGCCCCCGCCTCGATTCCAAGTGGGGACAGCAGTGATAACCGCCCACAGGCTTTGGACAAGCATGGATGAGACCATGGATGTGATGCACAGAAGTGTGTGGCTGGGGCCTACTGACTAATTTGTAACGACATGTGTTCCCAAAGTTTAATAAAACGTGTCCCTTAAAGCACCCTTCTAGAAGTAGTTTTCTCTTTCAACTTTGCCGGGTTGGCCTTTTCTTTATAGATTGTGCAGGGCACACTGCTATCCAGGTCAGGTGGGGTTCGTCTAAAATCTGATTTTGGGGTGTGTGAAGTCATGCAGAGTTTTGGTGGAAAGAGTCCCCAGGCAGGAACCGGGACAGCTCCCAGGCACACGGGGCCAATTGACTGGCGGCCCAGACCATCCCCTGCAGTCTCTGGGCTTACAGAGGGGCGGATCGGATAGTCGCCCCGACCCTCTGGGGCTCTGAATTCCTCTGCTGCTGGGCAGCCCCTCAAGACTCCACCCGATTTCCCACATGCACCCGACCACAACCGTAGCCAAGGGTCAGTCTCGAAGCCTGGCCCTGGCCAACCCCAGCAGTGGCCACTCAGGAGTGAGGGCTGCGCTTACCTTTTGCTTTTTCTCCAGTTTAATGGCTTTCTGGGTGGCCTTTTGTTCCTGGACCCACAGCTGCTGGTACCGGTGCTGCAGCAGATCAAAGAAAGGCGTCGACGGCCTGGAGGGAAGAAGCCCAGACAGAGCGCGAGGCCTCAGAAAGGCCAGCGGCACCCTCAGCGCCCACCTAAATGTCGGGCGCAGAGCCGGCTGCTCTCCCAAGGCTGTGAAAGGCTCTCCTGGCCCTCAAAAGCCCTCAGAGACACAGGTCCCTCCAGCGAGCAAATGCTGACTGTGTGTCTACGCGTGCTGGGCCTGACACGGTGACAGAGAGACGACTCGTGACTGAAATTTCCTCTTTTGGGCCAGGCCCTCATTCAGGCCCAGTCCCTGAGCTGCCGAAGCCGGTCACAGAATCCCACTGAAGGCATGCACGGCCCTCAGTATCCGATCACCCCGACAGCGGATCGAGTCCCTTATCCCCAGCCCTGAGAGCTGACTACCTCGGCCCACCGTTAGCAAGAATCCTGCTGTGTCCGTTTAGCGGGACTCTCCCTGCTCGACGTCTCCTCTCAGTTATTTCCATCCACTGAGCCCCCACTCGGCTGCACGCCCCCCCTGTGTCGTCTTCGGAACGGTGCTCAAATCTATCCCGAAGTCTCCTTCCTTTCTGCAACAGCACTGAACATCTGTCCTCACCACTTCAATGGCGCCCAGCTCTGGTTCTCTTTGACAACGATTTCCAGCCCAGGAGCGCTTATCCTGAGCATTTCGTATGCCCCGCCCTTGGCAATACTGCAAAGTGGGTACTATTATTATTCCCATCTGAAAGATGGGGGTGGGGTGGGGGTGTAAGGTCCCAGAGCGGGGGGGCAGCGCTGGGAGTCGGACGGCTCAGCCGCAAGCCTCTGCGGCAACACGGATTTCACGTCCTCGCAGCGGACGGCCAACTGCTCCAGGTGGGGCCTAATCTCTAAGCAGGTTGAAAGACTGAATGTGCAAATGGACAGTGGCCAAACCGCATATAAAAATAGAACTCTGCACCACAGTCTGCGGCAAGCAGCCCAGGAAACCAGCCATTTTACATAGTAGCAGCCCAGGAAGCCAGCCTGCGATGTCAGATTTGTAGGCGGTCAGACTGCCATCTCGGCCAACAAGCCAGGACGCCACACAATAGCCCCTATAATAATCGGGCCCAAATGGCTAGGATTTGATTAATAATTGCAGCTTCCTTAACTTTTGCCCACAGTTGCAACTTAGGAGCAACCAGCAAGCTAAATACACACCCCAAATAGAATGCCCATTTATACATATTAAGTACATAATTTATGATGCATCCTAACCAAATACGATTCCCCACTGATATACATATAGAATTTATAATGCATGTCATACACATGGTACATGTTAAGTGTATGATGCATATCATATATATGACATATACATATATGTATTTTCAAAAGGAGGAAAATGAGAAGATAAACCAAACTTAACTAAGAAGAGATAAGTATAGGACGAGGAAGAGAACAGGAAGGAAGTGACAGAGAGGAAAGCTAGAACTCTTTGAATAGACTTTGTGTTAGAGTTTTGATTTTGGAGCCATGTAAAAGGTGGAGTTTTTTAAAAAAAGTAATTATAACGAAATTAAATAAAGAGAAAAGATTAGCACCTACCCTGAACAGATGGAAGAAAATGAACCTAACCATATGTCAGGTTGTGGCATAACCACAGAGAATTATTCCAAGTGGCTTTTAAAGAGGTTTGGACAGAATATCCTTATAGTGCAATATTCCCTATGGACAAGAACCAGGAGGAAATCTGAAGCTGTGTTCTTATTGTTAATAATAACGTTGATATTGTTGTTTTGAAACTATTGTATACACTGTAGGATAAAGCAAATTAGTAATTACATAAATGCATTGGGAAACAAGATTTCCAGTATAAGAGAAAAGATTCAAATATAAAAACAAAGAAGTAGAAATAAAACCCTTGTAATTTTTTATGTGAACGGCAAATATCATTATGAACCCATTCGTTTTCCTCTTTCAAAAAATGAACACATTCCCAGCTCTGCCCACTGTGAAGGTCTGGAAGTGACCATAACTCAGTAGCAATAAGCACCCGGCGCCCAGACTGTGGTCTCTAAGTGCCACACTGCACTCAAAGAACCGGGCTCCCGGGAGAGACGGCTAGTCCCTGCGCCGGGGAGGCCCCTGTGCCAGCAGGGACTACTGGAGGATGTGGCAACAGAGCACAGGGGCAACGCTGAAGGGGCCAAAGCCAGGGCAATCGGGGCTTTAACGCCTGCCCCGAGTTGAAACACATCACATACATGCGCATGATGCATGTCTATGCACACATATATGTGTGTGCACCACTGATGGGGAAACAAGGAAAACCTCTTTGATCAGCGTGGAGGTTGCTAGGCCACAAAATCATCATTCTGACAATAAACAATGAAGCACCCCCCTGCCTTTCCTGTGCAAGCTGCATTTCAGGGTGGTCAAATAGGGGATGAGGGAAAATTCTTTGTGGAAGAACCAGAGCTCATAAACGCAGGAGGAGCGATAGAATGAGTGGGGAAATCGCCGATTCGCGACTCCTGATGAAATGGCGGATCTAGGCAATGCTCACCAAAAGCCACCGAAACCATCAGGTGGAAGGCTGACGGGGAACTTCGCGGCTGATCGGTCGCGCTGCAGCAGCTCAACCGAATGACCAACCTTGTTATTATTATTATTTTATTACTGTGGTAAAAACATACATAACATAAAATCTACCCCGGTGATCAATCTCAACACCCCTGACGGTGACAGGCAGACTTGTGCGGGAAGTGACGTGATGGGAGACACAGGACTAGCTACCAAAGACGTCCAGGAAACCCCAAAGTGAACGGGAGGTGACACAGCGTGAGCCGCCACGTGGCTGCAAGCCGGGGACGGCCTGGAGCCACCAGACGCTGGGGGAGTGAGGAAGGATCCTGCCTAGCGCCTCTGGAGGGAACGCGGCCCTGGGACACCTCGATTTCAAACCTCTGGCCTCCAGAACGGTGAGAGAGTAACTTCCTGCTGTTCCCAGCTGCCACGTTTGTGGTGATTCATCACGGCAGCCACGGGACGCTGCCACACAGGGGCTCCTCCGCCCGTGCTTTGGGGAATGCCGGACCGCTGCCCGGATGAGCGTCCAGAGCAGGCCCAGCGACCAGGAGGCACAGAGAGTCCTTCATAGCTCTCGAACTGCCACTGGGGACCTCGTCCAGGGCCCCCCAACGCAGCCAGGTGGGCGGCCACAGGCGCCACACGTGGGGCCCTGGCTCGAGGCCTTGGAGACCGCCGAACTCCAGGCTCTTAGCGCCCTGAAGTCCCACGAAGCTGCAGACAGTCCCTCTGGGCAGCCGTGTAGAGACCCCTCGTCTGGGGAGAGGGTCCGTAGCTTCCGCCAGATTGTCAAAGGTGCGAGTGCCCAGGACAGGTTCCAGCCTCAGACCTTACCCCGCGACGGTGTTTCCCAGAGGAAGGAGTGAGGAAGTGGATCCCCAGCTAAGGGCCTGAGCCTCGGCTTTGTCTTAAAGGACTTTGACATGGTTGTCAACTTTGAAAAATCGGAAAATTTTACATTTAAAATACAACTTTCTCAATTGTCTTGAAAGATTTTGACAATGTGAGCCCGCGTCCCTATCTGTCAGTAAACGGCCCCAGCCCTCACGCTTACACTGTGTGCTGAGCCCTCCGGGTGTTTGAGTTCATGGCCCGGGAGACAGCTGCAGAGCTGGACTGGACCCCAGATGTCCCGGCACAGCCTGCGTCCCCCGCGTGGGGCGCTCCTTGGGACCGGGCGGAGCCGGGTTTGGGCGGAGGTCCAGCGGCTTTGCACGGCCACCGCCGCCCAGAGGGCTCTTCCCAGAGCAGCCTGTGCTGCGCCTACAAACAGCGGCTCTTTGTTTTCCAGCTCCCTTACCCCTGTGGTGACTTTTATTACTTAATTATTACCCACCCCATGCTCCTGAGCAGCCTAATTTATAGCTGTGTTTTCTAATGACACTGGGTCCGCAATCTGGAAATATCTGCCCCAAGAGGCCGCTCGCAACAGAAAGGCCCTCCTCCCAGCGGCCCCCGTGCATCCAGCCCTCCTGCGGCCTCTGCTGGCCAGCTGTGCCCGCTTTGTGCCCCACTCTGGCCAGCAGTTCTTGTCACCGGGAAGAGGCAGGAAGGGGCTCCCAGCACGAGAGTAACCGACACATCCTGTGGGTCTCGGTGGCCCTGCCTGGTTGTCTGAAGGAGACCAGCGGCTGTGCCCGTCTCTTCCGTGGCTCATTAACATGGGTAAAAGGCGGAGAGGCTGCCGCGACATGGGCAAACTCAAGATGCAAATCAGGTCATATCGCCCCTTGCTGGAAACACCCTCAGTGGCCTCCCATCCTAGACTAAGCCCAGACGTCTGGCCCAGGCCGCAGGGCCCTCCAGCCGACTCCTGCCTCCCTCCCCTCAGCACACACTCCGCTTCCCCTTTGCCCTCAGATCTCAGTTGTGGGGTCGCCTCCTCAGGGCCTGTCCCCAGCCAGCCCACCCTAAGACAGCCGTGCCGGGCGCCCTCCCATTCAGGGGCCTCTTGCTCATTTGTTTACTGGTTTACACTGGGTCTCGGATTGTCACTGACTGCCAGCGCCACAAGGGCAGGAATGGTTTATGTGTGGCAGGAACTGGCGTGGTACCACTCTCATGATTACCTGTTGTTGAAAAGAATGAGAGAGAGAGAGAGAGGGTAAGGGCTGGAGAGAGTAGGAGGGAAGGAGACAGAGACTAGGCAATATTTTAGGAGATATGCTTTTTATAATTCAGGTATCATAAATTAGGCTACAGATGCATTATAATAAATTAAAGGAAGTAAACGATGGAAATTGCAATTCAATGGAGGAAGGATAGTCTCTTCAACAAATGGTGCTGGAGCATCTTAGACAAATCGAACAAACAGAAAACAAAACTTCCACCCAAGTCCCATACTTTATGTAAGAATTAACTCAAATGGATCATGGATTTAAATACAAAATGTTCAACTTAGAATTTTTAGAAGAAAACTTAGGAGAAAACTTTTGGGATCTAAGTCTTGGTAAAGAGTGTTTTA